CCCCAAAACTTCAAACTCCGATGCCCGGTTCCCCCCACCCTGCTCCCTGCTCTCCATCTCCCCCCCCAATAAGCAGGGTAAGGTAGTGGAAAACTGCTTGGGTAGGATGGTCGTGTGCCCGGTTGTACGAAGCCGCTGTCCGGAATCACAGCTGACGATGCTGAACTGCAGTGAGATAGTGCAGAATTTACACCCCCTTTACATCTTCTGCTCCTGTCCTGCCAAGATTACTAAATTCGTAGTGTGTTCAGGTTGAGCATAGTATTTTGATTCTTACGGGGGAAGGCAGACTTCTTTATCTAGCACTGTGGGCTGTCCTCTTTTCTAGTGAGTGTTAATTTTTGCTGTTTTAAGTTATTGCTCTGATCTCATTTTACAGGCTTCTGGAGTAACAGTGAACGATGAAGTCATAAAGGTTTTTAATGACATGAAAGTAAGGAAATCTTCAACCCCAGAAGAGATTAAAAAAAGAAAGAAAGCCGTTCTCTTCTGCCTAAGTGATGACAAAAAACAAATAATTGTAGAGGAGTCAAAGCAGATATTGGTTGGTGACATTGGAGATACGGTGGAGGATCCCTATACAGCTTTTGTGAAGTTGCTCCCTTTGAATGATTGCCGGTACGCTTTGTATGATGCCACGTATGAGACAAAGGAATCTAAGAAAGAAGACCTGGTGTTTATATTCTGGTGTGTAAAAGCAAAGCTTGCCATTATAAAGTTGAATATTCTGGCTTTAAGACTGGACGACCGAATAACTGTTTTGCTGTGGTTTTCTTCTCTCCTTTAAAGGGCTCCTGAAAGTGCACCTTTAAAAAGCAAGATGATCTACGCAAGCTCTAAAGATGCCATTAAAAAGAAATTTACAGGTACAGACCTAAAAAATTAGGCTCATTAATTACAATGCCATTTAGGTGTTGAGGTTCTCACAAGTACATTGTTGTCCGTCTGTCTTTCAGGTATTAAACATGAGTGGCAAGTAAATGGTTTGGATGATATTAAGGACCGTTCAACACTTGGAGAGAAATTGGGAGGCAATGTGGTAGTTTCACTTGAAGGAAAACCCTTATAAAAAGACAGACAAGTGCCATCTGGATCTAAGGAGCTTCCATTTCTGCAGCTCGTTCAATTGGAATAGTATTAGTCTCCCCGTCCCCTTCCCTCCTCAGAAAATAAGTCCCCTCCCCGACGCCCCTGAAGGAGATGTCATTGTTAAGCAGTCTACCAGCGATTCCCATTAGACTGTTTAATCCTGGTAGTTTTATGTAGGATCCAAGGAATGCTTTCACGTCATACTCTTAGCCAAAACTGACGTGGTGGGCATTCCTTGCACCATGTACAATGAATGTGATAGTTAATGTGAATAGCCTAGCAGACAGCAAAGGGTAAGCTAATCGAATGCCTTGAAAGTATTGTCCACTGGTCGGGTGGTAGACTCTATACAGTATTACTTACAGTTGCACTTGATTGCAGTTCCATGAGGCTCTTGTGCATTCATACACCTCACCTGCCTTGACAAGCCTATTTTTGTGACATGGCAGCACACAACACTATGCATTTAAAGCACTTTTTTGTAATATGTTTGACCTGCCCCCCCCCCCAAAGGAATGCCAATTAAGTTGCTGTAACTGTGTCATCAAATTATTGTAGTACCTCAGTTTCATTCCTGTTACATGCATATCTTTATAAATGAAGTAGCTGTTACGATGCCTTTTGTTTTCCATTGAATGTACACTACTGAACAGGAGTAGAAGTTATCTGTTTACTATGTGAGTCTTGAAACACTAAAGTTTTGTAAACATCAGTCGTGGTGGCAATTTCTGTATTAAAAAGAGCCTTAAATGGAACATTGTTTTTTTTTGAGATCAAAAACTGGCCACGTTGCAATAAAACTTGTGGCTTATTACAGAATGTTGCCTTGTTTTCATTGGAAAATGCAATTTTTAAGTACGTTTAATTTAAGCATATTTCAAATAACTTCTGTGGACAGAGTTGGAAAGATAATCATTAGTCTCATCTTAAATAATGCAAGTTGTTCATTCCTCCTGGCACTGCTTTACAATACTTTGTGGCTCTGTTCTGATCACTCGATAAAGGACCTGATCCTAGTTTACTGTTAACGTAAAGAAGCTACCACTACTAGAGACCATTAGTTCCATGAAACACTTGTGTCAGAAACGTAAAACTACGAAGTGATTAACCATGCAGCGTGTTTCGTACCTGAGTGTTCTTAAAGTTCTACATGTCAGAGTAAAACCTTGCACAGAATCTCGCAGCTCACCATCTTTCTTTCGGTAAGGTGATGTGTAACGACAGTTATATGATATGCAAACATGAATCTGGTAAATAATTTTTGTTTCTTGAGTGTTCAGACTTAGACGGACTTGGTACGAGAAACAGCCTAAATGAACCGTTCTCCTTGTTAGCTTCTATGTAAATAGAACTGGAACGTGTTTGCCACTACCGAGGCTTGCATCGGGGACATGTTTGGGTGGGAGCCAAGCAATGCTCTCCTTATAGAGAATTTGATCTGCTCTGTGTGAGCAATCCTCCGTTAGCCAGAGCTATTTATGGCAAACACATGCTTTTGTATCTTGTCATCGTTATCCACAAATGGCAAAACTGGACATGATTCTGCTGGTATGCGTAAAGGAGCGCCGTTAGGCAGCCACTCGCAGCTGAACTGTGCATGCTGCCAGAAGGAATGCTCTTTGTCATTACCTTGTTTTAAAAAGTTGGTAGAGTGGAACTGTGGAGCTTTTAAATACAGGCCCTTTATGTTCAGTCCATAGCCCTTTTTCCATAAGCAAGTGGATAATGGTCAAACTCTTTTTATTTTATTTTTTATTGAATATTTAAAATAACGACCTAGTGGTACTGTGTTTAGGCTCTCTTGTCCTGTAGAACTTTAAGACTTTCGTTTCAGGCTTCTGGCTATCCCTATGACTTGCACACCTCATTGTGTTAGCTATTCTATGTAGACTGAACTTTATTAGAATTTAACTAAAAAGGCATGATAACCACTGACTTACTAAGTGTATTAATGAGTCTTGGTTTTGTTCTACAAAACTTTCCTTTCAGGTACCTTTTAAGGTTGAGATTTAACTGATGGTATGCATGTTGTTTAGATAAAAAAAAATACTTTTATTCTGCAGAATAGTCTCTTTATTTCTGATTATTCACGTTGTGTGCAAAGCCCAGTTTAATGTAAAGATCTACTTTGTGCTTTATGTTTGACTTGAGTTCAGTACAGTATGATGAAACGATCTTTTAACTGATTTTCACAAGGTATAAATGGTTTCTTTAGAAAAAGCCAAAACTGAAAATGTTAAATTTTAATAAACCATTTGAATTTTCATTTTAGACAGTAAACTTTTTTAAGCAGTACTGTGTTTAAATTTATTGTTTGTCTCTGCTGCAAACAGTCTGGAAAGATGTCTGTGGCTTCTAAATTTTTAAACTAGCTTAGGTGTGTATTCACTCAGTCCAAGTAGATGTGAGATTGAAGCACAAACTGTATTTATGTAAGATTCCTACCAAAACAAGTTTTGGATCCAAAAGGATCAGCCTGCCTTCAGTTTGTTCTTGAAATGACGGACTGATGCGAGGTCCAATTCAGATGGCTTGCTTTTAAGAAAAAACAAAGAAAGAAAGAAAAAAAACCAAACCACAACCTGATAAAGTGCTACAGAACTGTTACTGTTTGAATGCTAAAACAAATGAGAGACAGCTGGCATCTGTTCCAGAATGGTTTGTCAGCTGTTGTTTTCTGTCATTATGCAAAATGGTGAGGGCCTCATTGTGATCGAGAAGTGGAGGAAAATCCTCTCAAGTTGAATATCTGCTGTGTATCTCCATGTAGATGTGACTTTTGGGTTGTTTTATTGATAAAGAAATGTTAAGTACAATTTTCATGAGAGTAGCTCGTGCAGAAATGGCTTTTTTCTTCTAAAAAAAGACTTCAAGACCAGCCATTGTTCAGTTTGATTTGGTAAATCCTGGAAGAGGTATAGACATACGGGCTTGATTTCTCAAATCAAAAAGGGAAATCGGCCCAAGACTAATGTGAGTAGGTGAGGTTTATGCTTGTGGCGATTTTAGAAACGCAAAGCTAAATTTATAAGGACTCGAGTGTAAGAATCACTCCTAGTCAGAGCATGAAATGGATTTCGAGTACGTTCAGTTAAAACCCAATGTGTTTCTCTAGGTGGAAGGGTCTGTTTCTGTTGTACCCTTCCCTTGGAACAGGCGATGGAATACAGCAATTGCCACAATTTGATAATAAGCTTTACTTTCTTATGCCAATTCCAGTATAAACCAAATTTTCATCTCTGCCTATTTTTTATAAACTTCTGTAAGTTCCCCTTAGTTTGTGGTGGCGAGTTAATGATTGTAGAGTGAAAACACGGCACTAATGGCGGATGAAGGATCATCAATGTAGCACCTGTCTATAAGTACTGAATTTCTTTGAAATATTTCTGATTTTGAAAACCTGGTATAAATAAAATTAATTTAAATGTCTTCAGATGTTTGAGTATGTTTTTGTGCTGGGCAGTACCTACGCTAATCACTTTGCTGTTGTCTTTGGAGTGGGAGCAGCACAGACACTGTGAAAGGAGAGATTGTGGAGTAAATGCGTGGAATGTGCGCATTTTTGTAGTGGGTTTCACCTACAGCCCTTCGGTTGGATACCCAGCTGTAGCAACAGCCAGATCGCTGGCTCTGGAGATAGGTATATAGAAGTTTTCAGTGGGTTGGTGCTGGATAACCTTTTTCTTGTGTTGGTTCCCAGCTCATATATTCAGAAAATGAGATTTTTTTTTTTAAAGGGTAGTAAAAAGTATGTTTACATACACGCAGAAGAAAGTGAGCTGATGCAGTGTGAAAAAGGTGACTCCATGACGAATAATCAAAAGATTATCCTTTTTGTATCAGTGGTATCCCTCCTGTTAATGTAAAATTTCTTGAATCTAGCAATAGCTTAACTGGAAGAGAGTTAATTTTGTAAACAAAGCTGTCAAGAAACGGCTTCACTGGATTCTCTGGAGAAGACAGGCTTTTACACCGGAGATTAACAATCTTTTTAGTGTTTACATAGGCTTTCTATGAGGCTGTAGGGGACATATATGAGAATATGCATTAAAAATGCGTAAACAAATAGTCTCTCTGAAATTAAGTATTTTTATACAAATTACTGCTTAGTTGAAAAATGTTCTGTTCTTACTATATTCATATCTAGTGCTTGATACCCCACTGGATTTGGGCATTTCCCTGCCTCACCCCCCATGCTGTTAAATCTACGATAACCCCCACCCACCTTAACTATTCCTTGCATTGCTTATCTCTGCCATCTATTAATAATATCTGAAAAAATACAAAAGTGAAAAAGTAAAGCTTGTCATAGGAAATTCAAACAGGTAATAATTCGTGTTGTTTACTTGATATGATGGAATTTTCTTTTTATGTTGTAAGGCTTACAGCAAAAATACGTGCTACTTGGAGGCACTGAAAGTAATTTTGATGTTCTTTTTAATACTGTAGGTTCATGTTTCTGTTGTCAGCTTTATTTGGTTGTTACTTAGAAAAGTAACGACTGGAAAAGAAACTTGAAGGTGCTGCTGATTATTTTAAAAGGTTTCTAGATGTCAATTTGGATGATAAAAAAAAATACACCAGCTTCAATTTCCTGCTGTTAATTTTTGTTCTTGTGTGAACTGGCTTAGGAATGTGTGTGTGTGTAGCTGTAGCCATGCCTTCTCCTCTTCCACCTCTTTATTTTTAAAAACAGCTGTGTCACTGCAAATCCCCACCATCTGCCCACCATCTTCCGTAAAGCTTTACGGACAATCTCCACTTGTACCTTCTAGTAACTGTTTTTCCCCTCTCTTGTTTGTGATTGTAGGGATTTGATTTAGAAAAACGAAATGCTGTAATACTACGCTCCTCAAAAGCTTTTCTATGATGCAGAAAGCTAAAAGCATCAGTTACTCTCTGGTGAGAACAGCTGCAGGGTATACACTGGCTTGAAAAAAAGAGATGCGATGTTGAGAACGGTTTCGAGAGCCTTATTTGTGTCTGCTTCCTCTTCGTGGCAGCACTGCTTTCATCTGTGACCTGCTCTTAAGGCTAATGTGGGAGCTAAGCTTTTCTTCCATTTTAGCTGTTTCAACAGAAAAGTGAACATGCACGTGGCAAACAAGGTGCAGAGAAGCAGCGGAAGGTTTAGAAGCAGCAGTTTTTCAGAGACCTGCCTGTACGTCTGAGGGAGGCAAAGAAGGGTTGCAGCACAGCATTGGTTTCCTTTTAATTTCAGCATGAGCTTGCAACTGTAAAGACTGAGCTTGTGTTGTCTTTTGCTCTGCCTGAACATGCTGATTCCACAGTCTCAGCTGTCTCGATGCTTTTAAGTGATGAAATGTGAACGTACAGCTCTGTATAGGTGAAATTTGTTGTACTTCTATAAATACGCAGCCATGCTATAATGAGGCTTTTGGCTAGTGCTATCATATAGGTGGTGCGCCTAAGCTGCATTTGAACAACCCTTTCAAAACATGTATTTTTTGCTTATAGCAAATACAGTAATTAAGCTATTACATGGGGATCGAGTATGATCTGCTGTAGTTCTTAATTAGGTGACTTGCAAGTGACAAATATAATTTATGGTCATATTTTGGAGTCTTAGCCCTGTTATTTAAGAGTGACTTAGAGATGAAACACTTCCCGGTCCACAGAATACATTGCCTGCATAAATTCTTTTAAGAAGCAGTAGCATAATTTTAGCTCTTCGTTGACAATGCTGATGCAGAATCCGTCACCTGAAGATTTTTATTCTTCTGCCTTGGTGAATTCCCTTTGTAGCGCTGCATTATTTCTCTGCATCCACGCTTCAAAATCAGTTCCCAGAACTCTCCTTCCAAGTAACCAGAATCCTAAACAATATTTATTCTGCGTGACTAAAGTAGAAAGGCATCTTGTAGAATGCCCATAGGAAACAAATGCATGGCATTAGTCTGTGTGGCCGCTGAACATGTTTGGCCCTGCATGCCATCTCAGGCTGTTGGGTTATTCTGATGAGGATGTCAGCCTGTTTAGGTTTGTGTGCAACAGCACAACCCAGAAAATTTGTGGAAACAGAAAAGAATCTCTTCATTTTTCTCAGATAATGACTGTACAAGCTGGCTGAATGCCTTGTTGGCTGGTAAGGCTGAGTGAAACAGCTGTCAGGGTCACAGTGATAACCATTTCTTATAATATTTTTTTTACCTGTTCTGAGAAAACCACCTGGCTTTGATTCTAGCCAATTTTATAGATTTACTTCAACAGGTGCAATGGTTGGAAGTATCTCCAGGACAAGCTATATTTAGATAAATAACCTTTCGATAATTCTGGTAGTTGCTTTGGTCTCATTATTATGTTAATTCGGTTAAGTCTGACTCCGTTACAATTTTAACTGCCTGGAGTTCAGCATTGCCAATATAGTGCTCACAACACAGCATAAACAACATTTAAAAGCCATCATCGTTAAAATTAGTAATAATTTAGATCAATTTTATTTCCATAGCCTAGTCTCAGTTTTGCGTGGAAGATGACAACTCTGTTAAAAGTCAAGTGGTCTTCCAGCGAGCTCCGGACTGAGGACCTGCCGTAGATCTTCATGACAGGGTTGAAGAAGTGTTGGAACATTCACACAGAGCAGTGTGCTTTGCTTTCGTGCATAGCTGGATAAATTTCCTGTCTTGGGACATGTTGAGGTTACTGTGGCATCAATGTCTAAAGCATTTCACCTCCTTTTTCATTCTGAATGGAATGGACAGACTGCAGTTACAGCTTTTTCTTATGGTAATACAGTTAACCATCTCAGCTATGAGTTTTATTTTTTCCCCGAGTACCAGAAGGGAGAAAAGAACGCTTCTCGTAGCACTGTGCAGCATAAAGCCGAAATACAACACCGGAATTGTGTGCAGGCATTGTAATTGTTTTCAGCTCTTGTGGCTGTTGTAGCAGGTACAAAGCGTGATCTTGTCAAGCTTGAGGTGCGCACGTGCCTTGGTCGACTCCAGGAAAGAGCTGCGGTGAGAGTCTGAGTAGCTGGCACTCTAGCTCTGTCCCTGCATCATCTCTCTTAACACC